ATTGGACCACACAAGAAGCAATAGCATTCAAATAAAAAGCGAATGATTGAAATTGGTTCACCCAGTAAAAAGTTATCAGGTAACACACATAAAAAACATACAGTGGAATTGAGTACCGTCTCCTTTTTGAAGTCGGTAGAAAACTAAAGAGAATAACATAATTTCTACTTAAGTTTCTGATGTTGGGGCTTTAACTCTTTGATGCGCTGTACACTAGTAGTAAAATGCTACTTAATTTCATGTGGTTAGTTCCTTGAACCAAAGACATTTTTAACTGGTAACGAGCCATTTTTTAAAGAAAAATAGAAAAAAAAATAAAGAACATTTCATCCTAATCCTTAGCGACGAAGCATCTATATTTTGATTCTTCTCTTGACTGCCTCGTTGGTATAGTGGTTGTACTAATGCGACTGCTGATCATGAGCTGATCACCCCCGTGCCTCGGTAAGCACGTAAAGCCTTTGGTCCTGCGCCTGATCTCTCTGCGGTCGTGCCGTTTTACCGTCCCATTGGACTATGAGAGCGAGGGAATAGAGAGTGCACCTGTGGTTGCGCATACACTTGGGCACTATAATCCTGTCCTGCGCCCATGGCTAGTCTCCGTTGAGGCTGGCCGCCGTGACATTATTTCGGTCTGGGGGACATTATTAAAACCGTGGTTCCCCTTGACCACGGTTGCTGGAAAGCAACCGAAACGTCGGGAATATAAAATAACTTAATTAAACGCGATAAAATCCGTAAAAGTAGTTTAATTTAATATGTAGTGTTCGCGTAAATATTAGAAATCATTATTAATATTATTTTGATTCTTAATGGAGGATGTAAAAAATTATGTCTATTGGCCACAGCATCTACTTATCTCAATGGAACTGTGCGCTAGTTTTCATGTTTATTTGAAAAATTGGATATGGTTAAATGTGAGAAAGATTACTTTTTGGTATAAAAAAGTAACACCAAAATTTCAGAACTAATGACAGAGATTTACTTCTTTTGGCCTGCTGAAATACTATTCGTTGACCCCTTAGAGTAAATTCCTCAGCAATAGATAAGGCGTGATAGAGCCAAGCTGCAGTTATAAAGTTGTAGGACGAACGGGTTTGATCGACCGTGAAGGACCACGCTTTCACAGAAAACCAGCGTAAAGTAGCAGATCAATGTTGCTGTATTTGTTATGGTGAGTGTAAAGTACCGGAAATTTTACTGGATACGAGGTGCTCTACCACTGAGGTGGCCACCATGGAGGATTGAATCAAAGAGCTTCTGAAGGACTTCAAGTATCAGTTTTCCATCCGCTTTCAGAAGCTCCGCTGTAATTGCATCCTCGCCTGGGCCCTTGCCGTTTTTAAGGTGTTGGAGAGCCATTCTAATCTCGTGCGGACTGACGTCCGGAATATCATCGGAATAGTGTCTTCTCGATAGCGAATTCGAAATAAGATTTGCTCTTGAATCGTTAGTCACACTTGCGTGTGGTTCCAATGATGATGTGTACACCTGTCCATATAACCTCTTAATCTCACTTAAAATCTCAGGTCTCCCGGAAACAACGCTGTCACTCTCGGTTTTCAGCTTCGAAAGTTGGCTCTTTCTGGTAGACAGATCTCTGACAAGAACTTTGGAGCTCTGGTTCCGCTCGATCGCTTCTTCAATACGAGCAGTATTAAGTTGCTTAAGGCCCGCCGCATGCATTTGGAGATCTGTCTGTTCAGTTGCCTGTATGCTGCCAAATCTACTGAAGACTGTAGCTTCATTTCCCGTCTAACAGACATGAGATTTAGAGTAGGATCTGAGAGTTTTCGTGTTCTTCTGCGGCGGGTCTTGCAAAACTTAGTTCCGACCGCATGCACAGTTTCCACGAGCTTGTCATTCATATCTTCCACTTCATTGCAGTCTTCTAGGCACTGAAAACGGTTTTGTAACTCGAGCTGAAAGGTTTCGGGACTTTGGAACAGAGCACGAGGGGGACGGAGCGTTGACTTCATTAGACGAGACCTCTCCAACTTAATTTTCATTCACATTCATATCGTCCACTTCACTGATCACGAGTCTCACAGAATACCTGCGTAAAGTAGCAGCTTAATGCTTCTGTGTTTCGTACGGTCCTATTTACTAGTAACAAGGCATTCTATATTAGTCCTCAGGGATGGCAACACATCCGCATGTTGATTATTAATCGAGGATGGATGTAGATGTCTATGAGCTAGAGGATACAATCAAGTAGACTGCGTGCTCATTAGTTACCCTTATTCTATAAAAATCCACACTATTTTGGAAGCCGTGAAGTATTTCTGGCCCTTTTTATTGCTTTGTAGCCTCTCACTGCTGTGAGAGTCACTGAGTGAAGAAATAATGTGCCGGATTTTATTGAGCAAATACATATCAGACCTTCGTATGGTGTTTATACAGAGACCAATATTCTTTAAATACAAAAGACAGAGAAACGATTGTTTGAACATACTAACAAGGATGTAAAATTACGTGTATAAGACGTTATTAAACTACAGAACATGGCGCATGTGTCACTAAAAAATCTTTGCAGTTATTATTATTTTATTTTAGAGATAATTTTCCAATCCAGAAATAAACAGACAAATAACATTTATTTGATGGATGGCAAATAATTAAATTTTTACCCTACCCTACTAACTACCCTAACACTTTATTAATGCTAAATGATATGGACGTAAATGCTATGATAATAAACAAAACCACCCGCGCTGAGTGTTGATAATACTCGGTTTTATTAATTGATTGCATGATAGATCTTGCACGCATATGATAAAAATGGTGCAGAAACTTAAGCTTAGTAATGCTTTATATACATGTACGTTAGCTCCTACATCTTGTCCCCAACCGAACATACTACCTCGGCCAAGCTGCTTCATTCGTGCCACAACAACAATAGCTGCAGGCTCTACCACGTATAGACACTTGCCGTAATTTGACTCTTGAACTACAAACACTTGCTGTAATTTCATATGAACTCCTTATTTCCCGCTATGCTGATTTCTGATCTTTGTTCGTAATTAAAAACTGAAGCTAGTACCAAATATCACAGATTACTTAATACATAGTTGTTACGGCCCGCAGCTGCTCCTGCAAAGGTTCAATATCCCGGGGTCCATGAGCGGAAGATTCAACGGGCAGCCGTGGGTTCGAGCCCGAATGGCCTTATGGAAAATGTTCTATCCTACTACACTTTAATGGGGAGGCTAGTCAAATAAAGAGTACTTACCTGTATCTGAGGCGACGAATGTCTCAAGGTTCGGTCAGGACGGAGGTGTGTATGTGCATGTGTGGTGGTATTTTTTGTGGCGTGGATGTGATTGACCCGACTGGACCGTTGAAGTCGGTAGCTGCCCGGACTCCGGCACCGCTCCAAATTATGGTAATCTCCAGCGGCGTCACCCACAGTCAATTTCATTCTTCTTCACTATGTCAGTCTATTAACTTTATTGTACATTTGACTAACTTCAAAACGCAACTAAATCCCATTACTTATAATGAAAACGTAACACACAGCACGAATACCGAATGTTCGGATCAAAGGTCACTTCCGTTTCGCGTGGCAACAAATTATTTCTAGAACTTAACACGACCTTCTCTAGTGTCACAAAGTTCAGCGTTCAACTGACAACAGAAAATGTCTCCGAACTATATCAAATGCCGCACGAGCAAATTAATATTGTCAAATGCACTTATATACGCTATCAAATTAGAATAACTAAATTCGCGGTAAATTAGGCGCGCATAACACACAAATTGAGACGTTGATCGCAATCAATGTTAACTTCCTAACAATTTGTCAACCCGGCGTCTAAATCTAGACTACAATTCCTCGTCGTTGCACAATTTGCTAACAAAACCGACTCTAAAAAATGGAGGTTATCCCGAGCGACTTCACGACGTGCTATCGACAGCACAGCTTTCAAGCAACTACTTCCACTCACGATCTGCGTTCGCGCCCTCTGCCAAAGCCACACCGCTCTCCCGAACGTCAAAACCGGTATGGCACCGAGCCGAGCGCCCTGCGGTGTCAAATCTTGAAACCAGCGTTTGGGCGTGAACATAGTAAATTATGACAAGATGTCCAGCACCTTAATGGACGCCTTATTGTTGGTGCTAGCTCCTTGAAGTTGTTAATTATATATGTATGAAAGAGGGAATAGCAGAGCATAAAAAGCATCAATTAATATATGATGAAATGTGTTTCGTAAAATTAATAATGATCTGGTTTTAATAGTTGCATTAAATCGAACATGTAAAATTATATTAATTAAATAAAAATACATTTTATCGTGTTTTATTTCCTTCCTAATTTATTGCACCATGTTGTGGTTTTTTATGAAATCCGTCAATATTTATAAGAAACCAGCTATCCGCGAGAAAGACATAACATATCTCTTGAAGAATTTAGACACGTGTGCGTGTGCTCTATTCTATAATTCTTCTGTCCATGTTTATGTGACTGAACTCCTCCTTGAGGAGCCGTTTACGACTGGACCGATTTTGATGAAATTTCGTGCATGTGATTATCTTGATTCGAGAATTGATTAGATTCACAATTGGATCCGGTAGGTGGCGGTATTGTTGGAATCCATAAATCACCATATATCAACACATAAAATATAACACACAACATTTAATATTTAACCTTTAAGTATGGACGTGGAGTCTCACAGGCTCCGCACGATTCGCCAGTTTTTGGTTTGACCCCCTTCCCCCCGCTCCATGCACCCGAGCGTCTCAGTAGCTTTACGTTTAGTTCCAAACTACACAGTGCGGGCGGAGGTTACGTCGCTGGATGCAGAACACGTGAGTAATATTCATCGAAATATTGGCTGGAGCCTGTCAGGCTCCACGTCCACTGTTGCCATGTAAAATATTATGATCAATTTTCTCTGTATGTTTTAGATTTTGTTATGTAAAATGGCTGAAAATATTAAAGCGAGTTGTTCTAGTGCAAAACAACCTCAGAGAAAAAAAATGCGACTCTTCGAAAGATGGATCATCTAGATCCATCTTTCGAAGACGAAATAACTTCTTTATTGTTGGCTTTGGATCAGTCAGACGATGAGGGAGATATTGAAAATTGCTTGGTATCTGAGGCGGACCCGACAAACTGTCATGATAGTGATTCAGGTGAAGAGGTCAACGACCTTGAAGATGCAGTCGATAGTGACAATTCAGACGCGCCACTTTCTGAATTACGCACGAACTATTATTATGGGAAAAATCGTTATAAGTGGACAAAGACGCCACCGTCAACAAGAGTACGTATATCTCAACACAATATTATATCAGTTCGTACATCTTCTTCGAACTTGTCAGCCGACTGTGAGAAAGATCCATTCAGTATATGGAACAAGTTATTCGACGATGAAATGCTCCATCAAATTTTGACCTGGACTAATGCAAAAATTTATATCTACAAAACTAAGTTCGCGCGTAGCAATCGACCTGAACTGAACGATTTGGACTTAGTTGAGCTGAAAGCGTTTATTGGTCTACTATTTTATTCTGCTGTTTTGAAGTCGAACCACGAAGACACAAGTTACTTATTCGCATTAGATGGTACAGGCTGTGAGATATTCAGGTGTACAATGTCGGAAACCAGATTTCTTATATTGTTACTGTGCCTTCGTTTCGATGATCCTAATGAACGTGATGAGAAGAAAAAGACTGACAAGTTAGCTGCTATATCCCCCATTTTCAACAAGTTCGTAAGTAATTCGCAACAGTTGTACGAACTAAGTGAATGTGTAACTGTGGACGAAATGCTAGTCAAGTTTCGTGGAAGAAGTCACCTAATATCATACATGCCTAAAAAACCAGGTAAATATGGTCTAGTGATACGAGCATTATGCGACGCTAAGAACTTTTATTTTTATAATGGCTATGTATATTCTGGAAAAGACTCCGATGGTATTGGGTTGACAGTAGAAGAAAAGAAATTCCTAGTCCCCACACAGTGCGTCTTACGTCTAACGAAACCAATCCAAAGAAGTAACCGCAACGTCACAGCTGATAATTGGTTTTCATCTATTGAACTCGTAGATGAATTAGCAAAACGAAAGTTGACGTATGTAGGGACAGTAAAAAAAATAAAAGAGAGATACCTATCCAATTTCAGCCAAATAAGCGTCGAGAAGTAGCATCTACCTTATTTGGATTTACGAACCAAAAAACGTTATGTTCTTGGGTTCCTAAGAAAAATAGAGCTGTAATACTCATATCTTCCATGCACCATGATGATCAAGTAGACCAAAATACTATAAAACCCGAAATAATACTTTATTACAACTCTACTAAAGGAGGAGTTGACGAAGCGGATAAAAAATGTTCTATTTACTCGTGTAGCCGCCGTACGCGGAGATGGACAATGGTGTTACTATTTCGAGTGCTGAATCTAAGTGGCATGAATGCATACATTCTCTACAACATGTATCAATCAAAAGAGGTTGAAAGAGGAGATTTCCTAAAAGAATTGGCTCGTTCCCTTGTAGTGCCGCATATGCAAAGACGTGTTGTAAACACAAAATTGCCGAGAGAGCTGAGGTCAACTATAGCTCGAATATTGGGTAAAGATATGGTAACTGAAGATGTCCAAACACCACCCGTCAGTCAAGGAACTAGAAGAGCATGTAGAATATGTCCCACAAAAAAACATAGAATGACCATTTATGTTTGTGTGGGGTGCAGCAAGCCTGTGTGCCTACAATGCTCTCGCCCTTTGTGCGCTGACTGCCAGTAATTTAGAGATATTATGACTGCTGTCAGAATTTTTGTTTTTCTTTGTCAGAAAGAACTTTTATGTTTTTTTTTCGTTTGTTCATTAAGTTAGAGGATAAATAGGTTTTATTTTGTTTTATTGTTGGATTTAGTAAAATTGAGTGAGTTAAAATGATAACCCTACCAAAAGTCTTAAAAAGTGCCATGATTGTTAATTTTTCATATTTCTATGATTATGATAAAGAAAGTTTATTACAAATTACTATTTTTTTCTTATTAAAGACCTCTATTTATGAATAGAAAGGCTAAGACGATGTGCGGTAATGTTTTCTAGAAAAAAGTTGCTTTTGAATGTAGTAGCCTGAGAGACTCCACGTCCGCACTAGTGTTGAAAATATATCACGTCCATACTAAAAGGTTAAGAAATAGAAAACATTTTCCCCTCAGATAAGGGACCAAACTATTTTCGTAGGTTATATAAAATAAAATAAAAAAAGGTTTTTATTTGTGGCCTATTCATAATTATCATCATTATTACAACCATTCACAAGTTCACTGCTGAATATAGGCCTCTCCCAAGGAATGCCTGAAAGCACAGTCCTGAGCCACCTGTATACATCGACTCACCGTATATCTTACCAGGTCGTCACTCCATCTGGTGGGAGGGCACCCTGCACTTTGCCTACCAATACGAAACTTTCTTAGAAGCCACTCGAAAACCTTTCTTCCCCGTCGGTTGTCAGTTCTTCGAGTTATATGGCCGACTCATTGCCACTTCACCTTATTAATCCGTGGGCTGCCTAATGCAGCGGCAATATTTCTCATTATTTTCTGTGAAGTTAGTTCTGTTAGCCAGCTGGCCTATACATCTTCTCCGGACTCAGGGCTCACGGCCTAAAAGGCCGTAAGGTATATAAAATGTTGCTCATGATGACGATGAGGATGCCAAAAATTAACGCAAATCAGTATACGGATCAGTCAAAGCAGAGGTGGCGGTCTCTGATTTTGACGGCTAACTCATATTGTTCGACGCTATGGGTGGTAAGAACCGCTCAGGCATGCAAGTGTACGTATTCTTTTACTATTTGTTGCCGGTTCTTCCCAAGACAGAGGATTTTTTTCTAACCAGTGGTAAAGTGAATAAATGACTTTAAATAAGAAATAGTTGTAATTAATATTGAATAAAAATTATTCTTTTCTATTCTACTACATTGCAAGGTCTCCGGAGACCGGCCGCGACGTTTAGTGTCGAAACGTAAGTGTGGCGGCCCTAAGGGACCGCTGATTTTCTTTTGGCAAGCCTCAGCCAAAGGAACCGCTCATCCTCAATTAAAAATAAAAATATAAATGCTTTGTCACTTCTTAAGATTGAAACGAATGCTTAGTTAACAGTAAAAATATAATCCCACTGGGTTTCTGGCTGGTTCTTCCCAGGACAGAGGTACTTTCGAACCAGTGGCATAATATATTTGATTGTCAGGACACATCTTTTGAAATTTACTTACGAAGTTAACAATAGATGCTTTTATAGAAGTTACCAAAACAAAACTCATAATATTATCTTACAATACGACGGGGACATGGGAAGCAAACAGATGGGCTAAAGTTGTAATCGTTCACTTGTATACATACATCGAATTTATTATTTAACAAAAACATGGCCTTAAAAATTTTCTTATTTATTATAATACCTATGACATTTATTATAATACCGCTCTGCAGTACTGGCCATTCCAAATAAAAATATATTTTGTTTGGCTAAGAATTCTAATTGAAAATTAATTTTATTTTAAAAACATGGAATTCTTTTTCCAAAATTAGTCATTTATTTTTTGATAAGCGTTATTTTTTCAACACATTTTTTTCTTTTTTGTCATCACGAATACGTTAAAAATTCGAGTAATTATGGAATATGAGTACCGTTGTGGCAGCAACGCGGCACAAGCGGCACGCTACATCAACGACGTTTACGGGGCGAATATTACAATTGAACGTGCCACCTGTTATGGGTTTGCCCGCTTCCGTTCTGGAAATTTTGACCTGAAAAATGCAGCCCCTGGTCGTCCGAAAACTATGGTTGACAGTGACGAATTAAAGGCGATTTTGGAAGCCAGCAGTAGCTTTCAAAGTTCATCAAAGCAAGCATCAAAATAATATTAGTTCAATTTCGTGAAATTGTCCTGGTTAAAAATCTTGTCAAATGGGTGCCTCACGACCTCAATGATCACCAGCGCGAAGAACGCACTGAGACGTGCCTTGCACTGCTTTGTTACCTGCATCGAAAAATGCTTTCTTTTTGACAATCGCAAGCGCTCAGCAACGCAACGACGCTGTACAATGCTCATTGTCTAAATTAAAACCGCTCATGGGACTCGTTCGCAAAATTTTATCTTTGCTATGTTTATTTACATTGGAACAATTAGTTTGTACGTGAATTTATAGTTCAATTAAAAGATATAACTAATTGAATTATTTCGAATTTATAGTTCAATTAAAAGATATAACTAATCTAAGTTAAATAAATATTTTTAGACGTCACAAGCTGTCTGTAAATACTAATATACCTAGTCAGGTCATAAGTTCTGTCATAAACTTTTTATAAAATTAATGATACATTTTTTCATAATTATATAGAAATTATATATGAAATGAAAGGCAATTTAATTTAGAATACAATTTTATTTACATTATTCAAAATGCTCTTCCCTATTTTGAATACATGCCCTTAATCGACGCGGCCAATCATCAATCGCAGCAAGCACCACACTCATGTCTATTTCTGCCGCTGCTTTAGCCATAGATGCTCCGTAGAGATTCCAAATTCTGATGAGATTTAGCGCAGATTTTCTCCATGCGTCTTGACACTAGTGTTTTTACTTCATCCTGGAAAGACGGCCCAGTAACTCAACTCCCTAAAAAATCTAATCTGACATATGAGGATTACCGTCCTATATCCATCCTTTCCTTTCTCTCTAAAGTATTCGAGCGCCTAATATATCTACAGATGAGCAAATTCTTGTCCAATCATAACCTTTTGAATTCATTCCAATCTGGTTTCCGTCCCGGTCATAGTACGACTACGGCTTTGGTTAGAATCACTGATGATTGTCGCCTGGGCATGGATAATCAACAGGTTACAGTATTGACATTGCTTGACTTTAGTAATGCCTTCAATACTGTAGACTTTGATGTTTTACTCGCTGTCCTAAGTTCTCTTAACATATCTCCTGAAGTAATTGGTTGGTTTTAATAGTTACTTACATGGGCGCCGGCAACGTGTACAAATTCAAGACACGTTTTCTGATTGGTCTGCTGTCAAAGCTGGCGTCCCACAAGGTGGCGTGTTGTCTCCTCTATTGTTCTCTATTTTCATCAATTCGATCTGTTCCCACATAACTTCTCTTTACCACCTATATGCAGACGATTTACAAATCTACTCTCAATGTAAGATTGCGGATCTCCCCAATACAATTGGATTAATTAATGAAGATCTTATTCGTATTTCTCATTGGTGTAATTCATTTGGGCTTAAAGTTAATCCATTGAAAACTCAAGCCATTATTATTGGGAGTTCAAAATTAATCTCTCGATTAACTTTGTCGCTGCTCCCGCCAGTCATATTCGAAGGGACACTTATCCCATACAGTGACAAAGTTAAGAATTTAGGTATTATGTTCGATCAGACTTTGTCTTGGGGACCGCAAGTGAGTGAAATAAGTAGAAGAATGTTTGCCGCAGTTGGTTCATTTCGAAGATTACGCAATGTTCTCCCCATTCCTACTAATGTTGCGCTGGCTAAATCTCTTCTTTTACCGATCCTTGACTACGCGGACACTTGTTATCTTGATCTAACAGTCGAGCAACTTAATAAACTTGAGCGGCTTCGAAATTATTGCATAAGGTTTATATTTGGGTTACGAAAGTATGACTAACTAAACTATGAATATCCGAATTCCGCCTTAAGCTCAAGTGGTTACCGATTCGCCTTCGCAGGAATACTCACATTCTTCATCTTCTTTACTGCATTCTGTTCAATCCGACCACTTCTTCTTATTTGAAAGACCGATTTATATATTTAAGTAGTTTACACTCTCTACCTCTACGATCTTAAAATAATCTCCTTCTAAGTACTCCTGGACATTCCTCTTCCTTCTATTCTAAGTCTTTTACGGTTACCGCTATACGACTATGGAATTCTCTCCCCTTACATATTAAAGAATCTAAATCTCTTCCTATATTTAAAAATAAATTAAAACTTTATTACCTTTCCCTTAAGTTATTACTTGTCGTCATTCACTTTTTCTTTCTTCTTTCTTTATCTTTCTATATTATATTCTGTACACCCCTTCCGCTATCTCTTAAAAATAGTATCCTCTGCCCTATGGTTGCCTGGAAGAGATCGCTGTTTTAGCGATAAGGCCGC